TGTTCTGATCCATTGGAGCTTTCAGTATTGAGACATTTTTACATTAACTGTTGTTATTACCATGCATGTTATAATAGTAGCACTGACTCCAGCAGCACTCCATGGAGTTCATATGTGCAAAGCTGGTTTGAGGCAGCACCCTATTTTGATACTGGTATCTAGCAGTTGCCTGGTGTTTGGAGCTGTCTCTCAGTCCTGGCTGCCAGGGACGCTGGAGCAGAGATCCGACCTTTCTAGGCCCAAGTGAGCACAGCAGAGTGTGCCTACATTTTCTTAGTGCAACTGAAAAAGCTAGATTTCAGAATGGCTTAGTCATAACTGTTGTTCTGTGTAAAGTCAGATGCATTCTCTCATGGATTCTGTTTTATATTCTTGTCATTCTCTGGAAATTTGTACAGGTTAAATATTCCTAATCCCCAAATCTGAAATCTACAGTACTTCAAAATCAAGAACTGTTTGAGTATTGACATGATACTCAAAGAAAATGCTCACGGAGCATGTTGAAGTTCAGATTTTTGAATTAAGTGTGCTGAGCCAGTAAGTGTATATGTATTGCAGATATTCAAAAGTCTGAAAAATCTGAGCTCTGAAGCATTTCTAATCTCAAGCATTTCAAATGCAGGATACTCAACCTGTACCAGGCGTGAAAGTTTACTTTTCAGGTCATACTGATGCCTCTCACGATGACTACATTTAGGTAAATGGTTTTTAATTGTAGTCAAATTAACAGGCAGCTAAATTTGAATATCATTCTGAAAAACTAATGGCTAATTTTTTTTATGTAAATGGAAATAGCTGTTTGAAAAATGAAAGTATTTCCAAATTTGTGATTGACTTCTTAGTTTAAATGTTTTATGACAAAAACGAGGAGGAAAAATAGTCTTATACTTTGACCAAATCAGAATAATAAATTTTTTTAATTATAATGAAACTTTCAGATAAATATACATTTTTTCTCTGTACACTTTACCTAAAGTATTTATGATACAGAATATACATTTTGAAAGATTCATCTTGTGATATAATTTACATTTGAATGTAACTTTGGATTTGTAATATCAATTCATGTCAAATAATGAGAAAGATAATTTAAAAATTATCTGTATAAATGTAGTGTTTTCTGTTCATACAGTAATATATTTGAAGTTACATATTATAATTCTTCAGCTTCTTTACCCCAGTACTGAGCATGAATGTTACTCAACCTCATTATTCATTTGAAGAAACCCAAATGAGAGTAGGATCTACGGAACGATTTAGACCAGAATGGATCTGTGGTAGACTTTGGTGAAGTGGTGGTGACATGGGCCAGAGAGACCTGGTGGGATCTTTGCCTGATCGGGTTTGACTGTGTGACTGTACATTCCTAGTCTGTTGTTAGTTCACCTGTAAAATAGGGATACTAATTTCTACCTTGTGGAGTGGTCACGAGGATTGAGATAATGCGTGAAAAGAGCCAACAGGGCCACTTCCCCTGCGGTGGCAGCCAGCAGACGTGTACTTGTTCCTGCTAAATTCGAGTTCCACAGCCAATTCTTCTTTTAAAAATGTTCTATCTAAGCCAGCACCAGCTGAGACTGACATGGGCTATGTGGTTATCAAACATGTTTTCCCCACCACTCCCAATTTGTTGTTAGGATTTGTTAAAAAAAAAAAAAAAGTTATTATTGACAGTTCTAAAGTTAGTGCTGTAAATATTTAGACCTGATAAGGAAAGGTGTGGGCTTCCTTTTAACATTTGAATCTGCATCACATGTAGATTGTTACGAAACTACACTCCTTCCCTGCTTATTTACATAGTTACATATTCTAAGGCTCTTGAGCTAGGCAAGTTTCTTCTTTTTTCAACATGAAAGTAAAAATAATTCTAAAAATGTCACTATGGAAACCTGGAAAACAGTATGAAGAAGATGTGACAAATGTACTTTAATTACAGTAAAACAAAGATCTTTGATAATCTATAGGAAATGACTACATAGCTTGGGCTTTTCAATTTTGTTTCACTATTATAGTCCTTTTCCTTAGGAAAAAAAATGCTTAAAACTGTAATATCAAAAGAATACTACAAAGAAAAGATAGTTTGGCCTTGACATTTTCAAGGAACATGTTTATCTTTTAACTAGAAAAGTCATGTCTTCTTCACCAACTCGGCCTCTGTCCTCTGGTTGTCAGTACATGTACAGTGTTTAAAAATGCAACTATACTGAGATATTGTGTTACAATTTCACAACAGAACAGTTTATAATAACAGAACAAAAGTTTAAAGAGGTGAGATACAGAAGTTGATGTTTTAACTGGAAGTATCTAATTTCTCAGCTTGAAATAGACTGAAAACTGCTTTAAAGTACAGTGGTCCTTTAGGTTCCGCGTGGAGGTGGTTCCAGGACCTTATGTGGACACCAAAATCCTTGATGTCCAAGTCCCTTACATAAAATAGTGTGGTGTTTCTGTATAACCTATGGAGACCTTCCCGCACGAAGGTCTAACAATCAAGTTTGTGAACTCATCCTAGAAAAAGTGCTGCACACCTCATTGCTGGTATCACTGCAGCCCCTCACGTTACTCCCCCGGGAGCTCTGCATCAATGCCAGTGCGTAGTTCACCCTTCAAACCAATTTTGAAACTTTTTCTGGTGTGACCATTAGAACTGTCATCATGTGGCACACAAAAACACAACGATAGTGAACAGCACTCAGAGAGACATGGCCCACGTCAACATGAACACAGCTGAGAGACGCTGACACACCACGGCTGGGACCCCTCTCCAAGCTGTTTGTGCAGGGCTGCCAACCTAAGTACACAGTGCAAGTTCACAGACTTAATTGTCAGACCTTATACAATGGCCGCTCTGATGGTCATTCCAGAGAAAGAGTTCAGAAATTGCTTTGAAGGATGGACTAGGCACTGGTGTTGGCCCATAGCTCCCCAGAGGGGACACTGTGGGATGACTGTGGTGAGATTCAACCGTGAGATCTGTAGCACTTTCTCAAGGGTGAGTTCTCAAGCTTAATTGCCAGACCTCATATACTTTAAATCATTTCTAGATTATTTTTAACACCTAATGTAATGAGAGCGCCATGTAAATAATTGTTATCCTATATCGTTTAGTGAATAATAAGGAAAAAAAGCCTTGCAGTACAGTTGTAAATTTTCCCAAGTATTTTTGATTTTTGGTTGGTTGAGTCCATGAGTATGGAACCCCTGGATATGGAGAAATCACTGTACTGAGAGTTTTATTGCTGGTTTTGCAATTTTGTTGTAACCACTTTATCAGTGAAAAATTTCTGTGAAAATTTCAAAGTTACTTCTACTATCTACGTGGTATTTTTGGTCAATCATACATCCCTTTGCTTTACCCAAATGATAAGCTACCCAGTTTGTTTAAGTCATGCTTTAAATACAGGGTGGCCTTAAAGCTTGTATGCAATTTGAAATAGTTTAAGTAGTAAATTAATAGTAGTAAATTGCACACAAACTTTATGTCCACTTGGTATTTCTTTTCTTCCTTTTTTTTTTAAAGATAACCTTATTTATTCATCTTTAAAATTTTAAAATCTTACAATTGTAAGTCAAATGGGATTATTTGTTTGAATTCTTTGACAATTGCTGCATAGAAGTATGTCCAGCATGCTTTAATTGTGGGAACCCATCCTCCCTGGCACATGGGCACTGTCACCATGAGCCAGGGATGGGGAGAGTCTGCTGGTGGGTGCATCGACCAGGTGGAAGGACCCCCAAAGCCATGTCCCTGCTCCTAGGGGCATATGGCTGTGCAAATCGCAGTGCCAGTCCAGGTCAGAGGCGCTGTGTCTGTGTCGCTCCTGAGAAATGACCAGCTTCGGGGAAAGCCACTAAGCTGAGATCCAACACTTTGCTTCTTTCTTGTGTCAGATGTTTTGCTTGAATTTAAAGGGTATGAAGAGCCCAATAATTGTAAATATTTGAGGGAAGTACATATGCCCCTAACAGTATGAGGTTTTAGGACAATAGACTCTTGGCAGATCTTGGGTTGGCTTATTGTTACTTCCTTGAAGGGGACAGCTTTGTCACTCACATTGGCAGCAGCGTCTTCCCTAAACTAGACTGCTGCAAAGCAGAGGAGCTTGGTCTTCCTCATCTCTGTTCCTTCCATTCCAAACACAAAGATTGGCTCATGGGGGCTGGGGGCTCAGTAATGGTCTGCTGAACCGGTCCAGACAGATCGAAGGCTGGCAGTGGGATTCAGTGGGATTCACGGCTTCCAAGGTGGATGGAGGCCCCCATCAGGTGCACCCTTCAGCGAGGGAGAACTAACTGGAGAGCTTAGCAAGCTTTTCCTGAGTGTCTGTTTCATTTAATGAGCTTCACTGAGCAGTCTGGGCCAAGGGAGCCTTTACAATGCTAGATGGCTGTGGCTCTCCCAGAAGCAGGCTCTGTGCCTGTGGGAAAGAGCAGTTCCCTGGGGAGGTAGCGTGCTGGGAGGCGGCAAGGATGAAGCCCGTCCCATCCAGATTTTCAGGAAGGTCGGAGATGTTCTCTTTGGCTCCACAGAATTCACTAGCCCTTCCTACTGTGATGAGCGGACCGCTTATGATTCACTTTTCACAGTTTCCTGTTTCTGACAAGGGGAAGGCTGGCTGAGAAGGGCAGTGGTTTTCTTGGGAGGCCCATGGGTGTTGGTGGTATTTTCTCAAGCAGATTGGAAACAGCAGGCTTCATTATAAAAGCATGAAGCAGAATTCTTCATTTCAGTGTTTCTGGCTTTAGGAAATATGTACTAAGTAACAAATAGTTGCCTGGCTTGAAAAATTGTTAGTTTCAAAGTCAACTTTGAACTCTCTTTATTGTTCAGATTAAAATTAAGAAGTCTCTGGATTAACTGTGGTTCTAACCCCAAATGTGGATTATGTTGTAACATCAGCCCAGCTGTGCCTGCTGCAGTGCTCTAATTAGAAGGAAAATGGCTGGAATAATAACTGCAAGTTCACCTTCCTTGTCTGTTTCCCTTTTGGACCCTGTAGGGACGACAGTGCCGGCCCACAGGGCCATCCTGGTGGCCCGGTGTGAAGTGATGGCGGCCATGTTTAACGGTAATTACATGGAGGCAAAGAGCGTCCTGATCCCAGTGTATGGTGTTTCCAAAGAGACGTTCCTGTCGTTTTTAGAATACCTGTACACAGACTCTTGTTGCCCAGGTGAGCAGTGTGAGTCTAGATGACATCTCACAGTTCTTTCTTTCCTTGTCACTCATTTTGGTAAGTTGCTCTCTGTGAAATCCGTCTCCTGTAATATTTACTAGAGTTGACATCATGGAATGTGCTCTGTGGCTGGAGGTGGGTCTGCAGGCCACATGCTGGGCAGGTGGAGACAGCGGTGACTCCTCAGTCAGCTCCAGTAGAAGAGCAGTACTCGGGTGTCAGTGTGAGTTCTCCGCCCCAGCTAGTGCTGTGTCTATTTCAATTCTTGCATTTGGGTCCAGGAGCTCCGTGGAGCACGGTCTCTTCCACAGAAGAGGGTTGGGCAACTTCTTTTACAGCTCTGACTTCTGGCTGAGGCTCTTTTAAGGACTTTCAATATTGTGAGACCTTTTGGTCTTTCTGGTCCAGAGAATATGATTTGGTTTTTTATTATTTTTATTGTTGTTGTTTTTTTGAGTCCTGGGTAGAGTGCAATGGCGTCACAGCTCACAGCAACCTCAACTCTTGGACTCAGGTGATACTCCTACCTCAGTCTCCTGAGTAGCTGGGACTAGGTGCCCACCACTATGCCAGTCTTGAAGCAATCCTCCCACTTCAGCCTCCCAGAGTGCTCAATTACAGGCTGAGCCACTGTGCTGAAGGCCTCTTTTTGACTCTTCCTGAAGTCAAGCATTTCCTATAACTGACTTCTCTGAAAACTTTACCTACGATGTGTAGAATGCCCAGTGGACTGTTGGATGTATTTATAAATTCACTGACCAAGGACTGTCTTTGCCTAGGACCCAATTGTCTGTGACAGCTCCTCCTTGGAATAGATCTTGTAGGTTTCCTCTAGCTGGATGGCTCTGAGAGAAGTAGCAAAACCCTGCCATTCAAGGGGCCTGGAGAGGCTGAGCCCGCTTGGGAGCATTTTCCATCAGTCTCCCCAGTTGGCCGCCAGATGGCCCCACCACAGGCACAAGTAGAGCGAGTCCTGTGCAGGGCCCAGGGTGTGGCCAGTACAGACGCAGAGGCACTCTTCAGATCCCTGCTTTAATTGTAGACCCGGAAGAGTTCTTGCATTTGTTATTGAAATAAGTTAAACAAGGCTTAAGCGCTCTCATGAAAAGTTTTAGAATTTCCAAAAAAGAACTTTTAAAAACTGAATTCTGGTCTCGAAGCTAGCAATAGAGTATTTTGGAACCAATTACAATTTTTTTTTTCTTTTGTTGCAGTTTGGGCAGGACTGGGTTCGAACCCACCACCTTTGGTATATGGGGCCGGCACCCCACGCACTGAGCCACAGGTGCTGCCCAATTACAGTCATTTTTATCAGTAAAGGCTGATATCTTTGCCTAATAAAAAGAAAGCACTGGTTCCTAGTGGAATAAGAGTTACTGTTTATTCATTATTGGCAAATTTGTACATTAAATCAAAAATTTCACCAGATTTGAAATAATAGGAAAATTTAGTTTTTCAGTTGCTAATTTTAAGTTTTATCTTGCTAATTAGAAAAAGTTTTCTCAGGAAAGCAATAATAACTATAAGACAAAGCACTTTGGAAAGTGGTAAAATTGTGGGGGAAAGTAAGTCAAAATTAATAATCAAAAAGTTAAGCCAGATACTGAAATATATGCTTTGGGAAGATTGTAGAAAGAAAGGTAATCAAGTCATGGCATTAAATATTTACTATACACAATGTTCTTGATTCCATAGCTACAAAAAATTGTAAGAATTTTAAGGAGACATAAGGAAGAGAATTACATGAAAAACCAGACTTATAAGGAAGTTCTTTTTTAAAAAACCAAATGGTGTGGTTGTTATAGGCTAGGAGAAAAGAGGAAATGGGGAGTTACTGTTTAATGGGTACAGGGTTTCAGTTTGGAAATATGAAAATGTTTTAGACCTGGATGGTGGTGATGGTTGCAAGCAGTGTGAGTGTATTTTGTGCCACTGAACTGTACACATAAAAACGGTTTCATGGCAAATTGTACTACATTTATTTTACCACAATAAAAACAAAATAGTAAACTAGCAAACTACCTGGAGGCTAAAGCCAAGAAAGAAAAGCTGCAGGGATTTAGTTTATCTAATGCAAGGTTTAGCTGAGAGTTCTGGAATTCACCTTTTCTGGAGAATCTTCTGAGTGTGAAGGCCAAGTGGATTAAATGGAGCTGGATCTCGCGTGGAATGCTGGCTCCCTGAGGCTCTCCCAACCATCCTGTCTACACTCAATGAGACTGTCAGCATGAGTTTTCATTTTTGTGGCATGGGTATTTTTTTAAGAGTCATTTAAAGAAATGGTCTTACTGTCTGCTCTCTCTCGTTTCCCTGCTCTCTTCAGCTGGCATTTTCCAGGCCATGTGTCTCCTGATCTGCGCTGAGATGTACCAGGTGTCCCGGCTGCAGCACATCTGCGAGCTGTTCATCGTCACCCAGCTGCAGAGCATGCCCAGCCGGGAGCTGGCCTCCATGAGCCTCGACATCGTCGACCTGCTCAAGAAGGCCAAGGTGGCTGGCCCTATGTGTCTAGTTGTCTGATGTTTTACAAAATATTACTAAAATGACTTTATTTTTAAATTTCTGTTAATTTTAAGATGAATTAGGCTAAAAGAAGCTACAATGCCTTCATAGCAGTTGCTGTGGCAGGTAATTTTGAAGCGTTAGGAGTGATTAGGGGTTTTGTGTCCCTTTATAAGGAAGAAAAATTAATGGAGTTTTTTTCAACTAAATAGTGGCTCTTAGCAGAGTCATTTGAGTATGGTGATATATACTGTGTCACATAAGTGTTATAGAAAATAGAATATATAGGCCAGGCATGGAGGCTCATATCTGTAATCTCAGCTCTCTGGGAGGCTAAGGCAGGTGGATTGCTTGAGCTCAGGAGTTCAAGAACAGCCTGAGCTAGAGTAAGACCTAGTCAGAAAAAACTAGCTGGGCCCCTTGGCAGGGCACCTGTAGTCCCAGCTACTTAGGAGGCTGAGGCAAGAGGATCACTTGAGCCCAAAAGTTTGAAGTTGCTATGAGCTATGATGATGCTACAGCACTCTACCCAGGATGAGAGTAAGCTCTCATTAAGCTGTCCTAAGAAAAATAAAACAGAATATGCATTGAATTTCCTCAAAAGATCACATTTTTCTAAAAGGAAAATTCCTAAATAGGTCCATTAATACTAATAAAAACAGCTGAGCTAAATTCATTTATTTCTTCATTTTTTTCATGGATGTATTTTGAAGTTCCAGTTGTATGAAGGAGACGCTGGTGTACTTCATTCATTCTTGCAAATGCTTTTTGTTGGTATATCTCACTGTATTAGGAATCTAGTTAGAAAACAATTTGAGGGTAAAAATCACTGCAGTATACACCACACTTCTTCAAAGCCTTTTCTAAGCTCAGGAGCTTTTTGTCTTTTCTGTATTGCTACCCATTCTAGGGAATAGGCCCTTACACAGATTGTAACTGTAGTTACAAAGACCCTAGATTGTGCATCTGGGCAAGGGCAAATAAATGAGGATTTCTGTGTTAAAATTGACTTCCCAACCCCCCCCCCCCATGGAGTCCCAGTAAAATATATATCTCACCGGGCATGGTGGCTCATGCCTATAATCCTAGCACTCTGAGAGGCCAAGGCAGGTGGATTGCCTGAGCTCAGGAGTTCCAGACCAGCTTGAGAAAGAGGAAGACCTCATCTCTGCTAAAAATAGAAAAAATAGCAGGGTATTGTGGCTGGCCCCCATAGTCCCAGCTACTTGGGAGGCTGAAGGAATAGAATCTTTGAGTCCAAGAGTTTAGGTTGCTGTGAGCTATGAAGATGCCACTGCACTCTACCCAAGGCACAGCGTGAGACTCTGTCTCAAAAAAAAAAAAAATTCTACCATCTCCTCATGTCCACTTTCTTTTATTCTTAGAAGCAGAAGGCATAACTCAGGTGAGGCATTCATTGTACCATCCCGTCTGCTGCCTGAGATGCCGTCTGGGCCTGTGGTGGTTACGGCACTCTTTGACATATACAGAACTTGCAGTAAGCTCAGCCCTCTAAGTCTTTTTCACAGGAATATATTTGATCCATCACTACAAACTGTCAGGACTTCTTAATATGTTATTTAGCGTACAACAGTCTGTCTGTACCTATCAACTTTGACACCCACGGTTAAAGAAGCATGACGACTTCATCCTCATTCAGGCTGTTAAAATGCAGCCACATGACATGGCAAAGGCCAGAGCTCTGTGGCAGCTGAAATCCTGCCTCCAGGCTGAGGTGAATTCATTAGTCAACACCTCCATTTCTGCGCACAGAAGGGAATTCGTTTAAAGCAGTGGTTCTCAATCTTGCTAGTACCTCCTAATGCTGCGACCCTGTAATACAGTTCCTCATGTTGTGGTGACCCCCAACCATAAAATTATTTTCATTGCTACTTCATGACTGTAATTTTGCTACTGTTATGAATTGTAATGTAAATATCTGATAATGTCTTATCAGGATGTATTTTCATTGTTACAGAGGGGTCACCACCCGCAGGTTGAGAGCTGCTGGTTTAAAGCATTCTGGGTCTTCTCGTACTGGCTCCGTAACTATTCTGACTCGAGTTCTCTTGTGATCAAGTCTAACAGTCCTGTGTATTTACTACTAGGGATAAAAGCAAATGTAAAAATTAAGAAACCATGTTCTCTTTGTGATGTATTTTACATTGAGCTTTATTTATTTATTTATTTATTATTTTATTTATTTTATTTTTTTTGCCGTTTTGTCTGGGGCCAGGCTTGGACCCGCCACCCCAGTATATGGCGCTGGCACCCTACTCCTTGAGCCACAGGTGCCACCCTTTTCATTCTTTTTAGCATTTTTGATCTGTCATTTTCATGCTGTTCTGACAAGTCTCTCATACCTTAGAAAAGGTGGCCACAAGCTGCTTCTCCCGTTCTGTGGCCCTTTCAGTAGCTTTGGTATCAGGGAGCGTCTGTGTGGCCACGCTGGTTTCCTAAGGCACCTCCCACACCACACGCACACTGGGCCCCGTCAGCACCAGTGAAGATCGCACTGCCACAAATTCTTCTTGACTTGTTTTCCTTGAGTCTTTGGTTTCTGACTTTGTAATTATTCTTATTTTCCCCCTAATTTTACAAAAAGTCTAAGATACCAGTTCATTTTTAACGTTATTGTTTGTTTCTGAAGATGTTTTTATTCACTAAAATTGAGCCTAAATTTACCAATTCTCTTTTATTCTGTTCCTAGTGGTTCCTAATTTGGCAATTATGACTCTCAGTTAATAGGACATTTTCTCCCTAAGTTCTATTTAGAGTTGCTAGTTTGAAGTTTCACTTTTTTGGACTTCTATTCAGCCACCCACCTCCCAAAACATTGGGGTTTCAGGTAGCTGCCGAGGTCTCTGGATTGTGGGATTGCTGTTGGTTGAAAAATGACCAGACACCCCAAAGTAAAGCAAGCATGAAGCCAAGTTTATTAAGGAAGAGAAAGGTAGGTTTACAGAGAAAGCAAAATACAAGTTTGCAGAGCAAGATGCATTTGCCATAGACAGCAAATGGGCCTCCATCACCAGGGAAAGTGTGCAGAGGCAGAGCTTATGGTGGCTTCTGTTATATGGCCTGGGTCAGGCCTACCTTGTGGCTCTAGAGGTCACCTTTCAACTAGAGTGCACATGTGGCCCTCTGAGCCTCTCTGAGAGCACATTGTGTGTGTATGTGTTTGTGTGTGTGGGGGGGGGGTGACCACATGGTGCTCAGTCTTCAGGCTGTTGTGGGTCACCTGTGAGACTGCCGCACCTGTTGCTAGGCGGGAGCGCTCCACAGGAGTTCTGATTGGTGAATTAATAGAGCACGCCCTCCTGCCAGGGTTAAGCAATCACTTGGAACAGAATGAGTGTGGGTAGCATCAAGACGGAAGCCTGGGGCCCTGTCCTTGTCCTCCTTCCTAGGAAAGACAACTTACTACCTAACAACTTCACCAGCCAGTTAATCCTGTCAGTCAAAATTCCCTCACCTTTTCTCTGACTTTTAGGAGGTGAAATTGTCTTCAGTAGAATTAGACTCCTAGTAGCTCTGATCCACTTTCTCCTAACTTCTCTTAATGCTCTACCAGGATTTCTATATTTCTGTTGAAGTGAAATCTTGAAGTACAGATAGGTTGTTTCCCTTAATCAGATTAATTGCTTCAGACTGAGGTGGAGTTTCCTTATATCTGCTCTCATTTGAACCCTTAAATTGGCCTGATATGGTGGCCTATAATCTCAGTGCTCTGGGAGACCAAGGTGAAAAGATGGCTTGAGGCCAGGAGTTTGGTTACAGTGAGTTGTGGTCACCCCCACTGCACTCTAGCCTGGGTGACAGAGCAAGACCCTGGGTCTAAAAGAAAAAAGAGTGAATTCATATTATTACTTATAATCCATATATTAGTATTTTGCTACCTGAGACTACAGGTTTTGAGTTTCAGGGTACTTTTCCAATGGGATTCTGGGTACTTTGTCTGCATTCTAAATGTAGCTCTTCAGTTCTCTAGCATTTTGTTTATGGTTTTTTAATCACTTTCTTTTTTTCTGTTGCTCATTCCAATTTAAATCTACTTTTGTAGGTCAGAACATATTCTTTCAAAACCTAGTTTTTATAGTGAGATCTATTCCATCTCTTGCCTAGAGGTCACGATTATGGTTAAAAATGAAATTCTGTGTTTTAAGAATGTTTTCACAGACAGCTGTTCATTTCTAAGATGTCCTTTGTTGTCCAAAGTTCCAGCCCTTAGGCAATGCCCTGCCCTTCTGGTGGGATGTCATCCGCTCTGGTGGGGGCGGGGGGGATCAGTCCTCTATTAATAGTGGTGACTTCTTTTTTTTTTTTTGAGACAGAGTCTCAAGGTGTCCCCCTGGGTAGAGTGCTGTGGCATCACAGCTCACAGCAACCTCCAACTCCTGGGCTCAAGCGAGTCTCCTGCCTCAGCCTCCCAAGTAGCTGGGACCACAGGCACCCGCCACAACGCCAGGCTATTTTTTTTTGGTTGCAGCTGTTGTCGTTTGGCAGGTTCGGGCTGGATTTGAACCCGCCACCTTAGGTGTATGTGGCTGGCGCCTTAGCCACTTGAGCCACAGGCGCCGAGCCAGTGGTGGCTTCTTAAAATAGCTGTTTGGCTAAAATAGCTAAAGGTTCTTGAGGTCACTCACATTCATCTGCTAAACCATTAAAAAGTGACGTGGGATTAGGTGAATTATAAATTCCCTCTGATTCAAAACATCAGATTTTACATAATGAAAATGGGAGGGACATATGAATTTGTATGTTAAAATCCTCTCTAACTTTTAACTTCCTAAAAAAGCAAATCCTTGGCTTATCTCCTTAAGATTTGAAATTACTTATTCAAATTACTTATTACTTATTCATCCATCACTTATTTAACATTTTTGAATGTCCATCTTAGCCAAAAGTGGAAACAACCAAGATGTCCTTCGGCAGGTTAATGGTTAACGAAATGTGGTATGTCCCTACAGCAGAATGTCATTCAGCCCTAACGGGGAATGGGATTTTGATGTGTGCTACAGAGTGGATGAACCTGGAGGACATGATGTTGAGTGAATAAGCCCCGCTCCGAAGGCCAAACCCTGCACAGTGCCACGTCCCTGAGTGCCTGGAACTGTCACATTCACAGAGACACAGAGAACCATGGTTTTCGGGCCCCTGGGGTAGGAAGAGGGTGCAAGTTACTGTTCAGTGGACACCCAGTCAGTTTGGGGTGAGGGAAAGGATCTGGAAAGAGTGATTCTGTCTGCACCACATGCCAACGTGCTTAATGCCACTGAACTGTACATTTGAAGGTGATTAAGATGGTAGATTTTATGTATGCATATTGTACCACAATAATCATAATTTTCATTTATTTTTTATTTTTTATTTTTTTGAGACAGAGTCCCAAGCTGTAGCCCAGGTGGAATGCCGCGGCATCACCACTCACAGCAACCTCCAACTCTTGGGCTTAAGTGATTCTCTTGCCTCAGCCTCCCAAGTGGCTGGGACTACAGGTGCCCACCACAACGCCTGGCTATTTTGTGGTTGTAGTTGTTACTGTTATTTGGGAGGCTCGGCTGGATTTGAACCTTCCAGCTCTGGTGTATGTGGCTGGCTCCCTTGGTGCTGAGCTATAGGTGCTGAGCCAGTAATCATAATTTTTAAAAGAGCTATACTCATGTACCAAAGTTGCCTGCCAGCCAACAGTTCAGGGTCGAGTGACATCCCTGATGGCGCCCAGGTGATGTCAGCGGCCAGGCTGCTCTACGTTTTTCCCGCACCAGCAGCTGTTTAAATTCAGAATGAAGAGATTTGAGCTGGAAATCCTGTTCAGTGTGACAGTCTCCACTGTTAAAAGCAACTATGTGGACACAATTTTGTCTTAGAAGTATTTACATGTTCAAATTACACACCCTTAGGCAAGTGATGTGCCCTCTACAAGATCATTTTTCGTTTGCTCGTCAAGCGAGGTTGTGTAGATCCTGCTCACCAGTCTGGGACGCAGATCCAAGTGTAGTCAGTGAAGTCCACAACTTACTAGAAACTTGAGTGAGATGATCAAGAACACGAAATGGCCTGTGACCCACAGGTGCAGCCAGGCATCTGGTGGCCACCAGCAGCATCAGCTTGTTACTCCCTGGGGATTCCGTCTCTCTGCTGAGTGGTGTCTGTTGAATACGTGTTGCTAATGGCTCCTCTTCCTCCCCACTGTCACAGTAGGCTGAAGGCTGCATCATAAATAGACAGAGCAAACACAGACAGGCTCTGAACTTTCCTCCAGACCATTCTCTCCAGCTAGTCCCCATGCAGGTGGTCACCACACGCAATATGGTTTCATTTTCCGTTTTTCTTACAGTTTCACCACTCTGACTGCCTTTCGACCTGGCTGCTTCATTTCATTGCCACTAACTACCTCATCTTCAGTCAGAAGCCTGAATTTCAGGATCTTTCAGGTAGATGTCAATTTCTGTTTTGAAAAGAAAACTTTATGTTCTTTGTTCTTAGATCTGAGATGTAATCTATAGAAATTATAATTTTAAAATAAGAATAGTCAATGTAATGCATTACTCTTAAAGTATGAAACGTGATAATTGAGGACACTTAACTTACAGTCACAGTGTCACATAGGCAGCTTAACCTGCACCACTCAGGAAGCTCCCTAGTGACTGTCTGATGCTCTCGTCCCTGTCTGTCCAGTGACTGTCTGATGCTCTCGTCCATGTCTGTCCGGTGACTGTCTGATGCTCTTGTCCCTGTCTGTCAAGTGACTGATGCTCTCGTCCCTGTCTGTCCAGTGACTGATGGTCTCGTCCCTGTCTGTCCAGTGACTGTCTGATGCTCTTGTCCCTGTCTGTCCGGTGACTGTCTGATGCTCTCGTCCATGTCTGTCCGGTGACTGTTTGATGCTCTCGTCCCTGTCTGTCGGGTGACTGTCTGATGCTCTCGTCCATGTCTGTCCAGTGACTGTCTGATGCTCTTGTCCATGTCTGTCCAGTGACTATTTGATGCTCTCGTCTATGTCTCAGTGTCTTTTCCTGATTTGGAGAGAGAAGGCCCTGAAGTATGTCCTCAGGTAGCATTCGGTAGTGACAAACAATGTCTTAGTTTTAGTTACCTGAGTCAGAAGAAAAATTTAAGATGTAGAGATTTAAACATTTTTTATAATGGAATTTAACTGTTAGTAACCATACAGCATACAGTCTTGGGTATCTGTTCAGTATCTACACTGGTGTCTGTTACATTACTTTGGAATGACAGTTGTTTAGGATCGTTATGAAACTTAATGAACAGAAGGTATATGTGGTGTAATGTCTATAGTACATTATAAGGATTAGAACCCAATAAAGGACAAGCTTGTTAGTGCTGCCTGAGAGTGGGAAAAAATGAAAATATAGTAGGTGTCAGAGTGGACAGTTTAGATAACAGTGGCTTGCTCATGTTATTAGCACAGACTCAAGGAAAAATTGAGCTAAAAAGGAAAGGAAAGGTGCCTAAAGGTCTTCTAGGGTTGGGCAGAGGCAAGAATGGGAGGTGGACCAAGTGGACGTCTTAGTGTGAAGTTCTTCAAGGGTGGGGGCAGAGGCAGGAGTGAGTGTGGGGGGACCAAGTGGACGTCTTGGCCTGAAGTCCTTCTAGGGTGAGGGCAAGAGTGAGTGGCAGGGGGACTGAGAGTGGATGTCTTGGCATGAGGGTCTTCTAGGATGGGGGCAGAGAGTAGGAGCGAGTGGGGAGGGCACCAAGTGGACGTGAGGATCTTCAAGGTTAGGGGCAGAGGCAGGAGTGAGTGTGGGGGGACCAAGTGAACGTCTTGGCCTGAAGTTCTTCTAGGGTAGGGACAGAAAGCACCAATGAGTAGGGGGGGAACCAAGTGGATGGCTTGTCCTGAAGGTCTTCTAGGGTGGGACCAAAGGGCAGGAGTAAGGGGGACACAGGTGGACATCTTGGCGTGAAGGTCTTCTAGGGTGGGGGCAGAGCACAGGAGTGAGTGGGGGGTAACCAAGTGGAAGTCTTGGCCTGAAGTTCTTCTAGGGTGAGGGCAGAGGGAAGCAGTGAGTGGGGAGGCATGGAGCCAAGTGGACGTCTTGGCCTGAAGTCTTTCTAGGGTGAGGGCAAGAGTGAGTGGCGGGGGGACCAAGTGGATGTCTTGGCATGAAGGTCTTCTAGGATGCGAGCAGAGGGCAGGAGTGAGTGGGGAGGGGACCAAGTGCCCATCTTGGTGGGAAGGTCCTCTAGGATGGGGGCAGAATGCAGGAGTGGGGCGGGGGGGAAGCAAGTAGACATGTTGGCCTGAAGTTCTCCTAGGGTGAGGGCAGAGGGCAAGAGTGAGTGTGTGTGTGGGGGGGGGGGGGAACCAAGTGGATGT